TGGAGCCTCACCCTGGGGCTCGCTGTTCAGTACCAACGCAGATCAGCTGGCCACACGGCCCCTCTGCTCCAGTCTGTAAGATGGGGGCTCTGTACGTCTCAGAAGCCCCAGACTCCGGGGCGCCCGGGTGGCTCAGTCGTTAAGTGTCTGCCTTTGGCTCAGGTCATGATCCCAGGGTCCTGAGATCGAGCCCCGCATCGAGCCCCGCATCGAGCCCCGCATCGAGCCCCGCATCGGGCTCCCTGCTCAGCGGGGAGCCTGCTTCTCTCTCTCCCACTCCCCCTGCTTGTGTTCCTGCTCTCGCTATGTCTCTCTCTGTCAAATAAATAAATAAAATCTTAAAAAAAAAAAAGAAGCCCCAGACTCCACACACGAGAGCGAACAGGTAGGAAAAAGTTTTCTTTCCAATTGACGTATTTTCATATTGAGTCAATTCTTCCTTGCGGCTGAGAAAGAACCCCAGTGACCGGTGGCAAGGACGCTGGGGTGGGGTTTGGCGAAGGCCGCCACCCCCCCCTCCCGCTCCCCAAACCTTCCGCGGCAATCCCACCTCCCACCTCCCCCGGCCCCGCACCCACGCACGCCCTACCACCGAGCTGCACACCCGCCTCGCTCCCCGCGGAGCCCGCCCTCCTCCAGCAGCTGGAGGCCCGGGGTTCCGAGAACGGAACGCGGAGCTCGACTTCCCGGCTCGGGAGGGGTGCGCGGCCGAAACCCGGGGCGGGCCGGGTCCCTCTCGCGGGGGCTCCCGGGCACGCGGGCTGTCGGGGGACACGCGGCGCTCGCAGAGGAGCCGCCTCTCAAGCCGGGACCCGAGCCCCGGGAGCGCCCTCTCCGCTCCCGCGGGGCCTCCTTCGGTCGGACCTCCATCCCCTCCCCGGGACAAGCCTCAGCACGGACGGACGCCGGCGTTCGGGCCCCTACTCACCAGGTCCTCCCCACCTCCCGGACCTGCGCTTGGGCGGCCCCGGGGCGCGGGGAACGAGCCCGGTGCCCCGGCGCGTCCCACCGCTCGCGCGGACGCCGGCGCCTTCCTCCC